ATTGTACATAGAGGTCAATACCCTTTATAAACAGTCTGTTTTATCCTTAAACGCAATTTTCACAGCATGAAACACACTGTGACCTCTGGGTGCTGACCAAAATGTGCATGATATATATATATATATATATATATATATATATATATATATATATATATATATATATATATATATATATATGTGTGTGTGTGTGTGTGTGTAAGTTTGTGTGTGTCTGTGTCTGTATCTCTGTGTGTGTAGACCTTCCTTAGGACGTAACACTTGTCAGAATCGAAAACTCTTGAATTTTTTTTCTCATTTCAGAGGGCGTGTCTTGTTCATAATATCGATACGCTGTAAAATCGATGCCTTACTTTTACACAGTTATTGGACTGTTATTTACAAATGTCAGCTTTGAAAACTTTTTACATAAATGACGTTTGGAAATTTATTTTAATATTCTGATTTTTTTTTATATATTTTCTTTATCTTTTCATTCAATTTTTTTTTTTTTTAATTTTCTGTAAGGGATTTATTTGAAAACACTTGAAAAAGAGTTTTATATTTATTTAACGTGATAAAGAATAAGCGGTTACATTAATTTCTGAATTTATGTAAATTTTTGTTCTTTTATTTAAACGGTTTACATCCGTTTAATATTTATTGAAAATAAATCTGTTTTGTAGCCTCCAACTCCTAAAATATCAGCTTTCGTACTCAAGTCCAACACTCTGTAAAACTCAGGGATCGATTTGACATTGTATCGTTTTTGTAGATAGGACCCTCCTACTAATTTGATATAATTTCAATATTTGTCGCTTCTAACAAGTTCAAAAGAATATTAATCTACAAAAATTATTTCCCGACAATATTTTTTACGAGTGGACCAATATATTTAAATAGATCCAAAATAAGACTTTATTTTTAATACCCTATTTACAGCCATATAAAACGCACTTGGATAAATTAGACGTCTATCTTTTAATAAAAAAAATATTTAGGAAATAAAAGATTAAATGATAAACCCATCATATTTAAATAACATAGATTTTGTAACTTTTTTTAATATCTCAAAATTATTTTGATTTGAAATGTTAATTTATACAGTCATAATCATATATATTTACTTCAAGCGTTAGACTATAATCTGTGAACCTAAAATTGGCATAAAAAGGGCAAGAAGATTTTTGTTTGAAATGTTAATATTTTTTATAGAGAAGTGCGCATTATATGGTGAAAATACAATAATTACAGATATTTCAAGGTTTAAATTTCACGTAAAAACTTTTATTTAATATTTAATATTTGAGTATTATATGCTTATATAAATCATTTTTTATTAAGATTTGATTAATATTTAGATACGATATCAACTTCGTTCACACACACACACACACACTATATATATATATATATATATATATATATATATATATATATATATATATTACAACGCTTCCGTTGGTCTATTCTGAGAACTTGTTCTGGTAGATTATATCCATTTCCGGCCTTTTTTATCAGTTGTTTCCAGAACTGGAAAAAAATTTCGACGGAAGAAGACCGAAGAATAATACAGCCGAAAAGTTGTGAAGACAAGAATTAAAAAATAAAAATACAATAATTAATTACATGTCTATAAATAAATAACATAATAAAACTGAATACTGTCCCCAGGAATTATTGCAGATACTATGTTCGTAAAAAAATATTTGAAACATTTTTGTCTGGTGACGCCAAATAAATCATAAATTTCAATCAATTTTTATTTGAGTTTTTTTTTTTTTTTTTAAATTTTAATTCATCAGTAATAAATAAATAGTGTTTGTTTTTTTTTTTTAATTAATAAGGGATGGAAGAAAAGCCGAATTTGGTTATATTAATACTGACGCCCCTCCAAACAGCAACTAGAAAACTCATGCCTGAAGAAGGCTGGGCAAATACAACCGGCCGAAACGTCACTCTATGACTAATTGAAACACTAAAAAAAAAAAAAAAATAGAATTAGCCAAGAAAAAAAAAATGTCGTTATCCGCGACACGCTAATATGCGACAGGACTAAAAAGCGTGTCACGTGGCCGGAACAGTCAACGGAAGCTGTCGTCCGACCCTTCCTGAACGGAAGTTGATCAAACCGGGCATCCGGGAGAAGACATTCGATGCTTCAGGCATGAAGGGTAATTACTACTAATACTAACAATGATAATAATAATTATTATAATTATTATAATTAGTAGTATTGCTAATAATATTATTAGGTTTATACTAAAAAAAAGTCAATGTGATAGGTCTTATATAAATGCTGTATATTTTTACTAATAATAACGGTCAGATGGCTGAATGAAAAATACTTTATTATTATATTTATATTTTTTATTAAAAAGTGGGAAGAATCACTAATAAATTATGTGCAATATGATTTTGTTATTATTATATGTTTAACATTAATGATAACTGTTATTTCTTAAAATACTAACTATGTATCTTTTACATAAAATTATAATGAGACATAATTTCTGCCTACGTGTATAGATAGATAGATAGATAGATAGATAGATAATGAACGGAATGGCATAGATAGATAGATAGATAGATAGATAGATAGAGAGATAGATAAGTACCAACAGAAATATGAACAGACTGATATAGCTAGCTAGCTAGCTAGCTAGATAATAACGAACAGAGATAGATAGATAAGAACCAACTTAGATAGATAGATAGATAGATAGATAGATAGATAGATAGATAGATAGATAGATAATGAACGGAATGGCATAGATAGATAGATAGATAGATAGATAGATAGATAGATAGATAGATAGATAGATAGATAATGAACGGAATGGCATAGATAGATAGATAGATAGATAGATAGATAGATAGATAAATAAATAGATAGATAATAGATAATGAACATGATTGCATAGATAGATAGATAGATAGATAGATAGATAGATAGATAGATAATGAACGGAATGGCATAGATAGATAGATAGATAGATAGATAGATAGATAGATAGATAGATAGATCATACTTTGTCAGTAAATGTCAATTTAACTACGTAGAAGACTTGGTCATTATTTAAAAACTAATTTCAGTACGTAAGAAATTTCTTGAGTTGCAGTTAGAGCAGGTCCTCTTATAACGATAATTCAAAAATTGTTCTTGTTTGAGGAAAGAATCATTTATCATATTAACATTATTAACTTACTTAAAGTTTTTACTTTATTATTATTATTATTATTATTATTATTTTGGCACAGTTTATTAGATGTAATTATCTGGTTTTGTATTTATTGGCTATTAAGCTACAACACGCCGCTTAGGCTTCGAGCATATTGTTCGCGCTGTGCTAAGCAAACCTCTCTTCTGCAATGTATAAAAGTCACTGGTAAATCTAATGTTTTTAAGCAACTGGCAAAATTTTTGGACACTCTTCCTAATACTTGGGTTCCAATTGACAACAAACTATACCATTTGGCAAATCCATATTCTTTTACTACCTTATTCTTTTCATGTCTCTACAGTTCTCAATTTTTCTCTCTTTCTTTCTATATTACACTATTATTATTATTATTATTAAAAATATGTTCGACTCGTCTTTGCTTTATAAACACATATCACATCATAATTCCAATATTACTAGTGTAATAGTGAGAGTGAAATTGTCACACTCTTAAAATTTCCATTTCTAAGTACCTATACTTTGAGATTATTTTGTTATGATGTTTATATCAGACGCGATCGCCACGTCTTTATCATTCATATTTTTCTGAAGTATTTTATTATTTTATCTGGTCTATTTGGCTTGTATAGTGCGCGCGGTATATATGTCGAAGCCGCAGACTTCTGTAACATTTTTACCTTCTAATAGTGGGAAGGAGACGGGTTCATACAACTTTTATGTATAAGGAAGGTCATCACGTTGGCATATCTTCCAATACATTTATTTGTCTCCTCTAATCTGTTGCTTTGTGGAACCGACTCCCAAGGGGATGCTTCTTCGATCACTACAATCATAATTTGTTCATGTCTAGGGGTAACCCCCATATATACTCATAAACTCTACCTCTTATTTTTAACGATCTATCACGAGTGTCTCTTGACCCTTTTACAGGTTAAACATCTTTATAAAAAAATAGCTTTGGTAGAGTTCGGATCTAGATGTTTGGACCGATACAATTCCAGATTGGACAATATAATTCTAGATCCTTTTCAGTTGTCATTTCTGGTCCTGATGTTTATACCATTTCATCCTTTCAAAGATTCTTGTGTGGAACGGGTAACCACGTCCATGTCATTATTATTATTCTGCTCTTGATTCATGGTGACAAAAAAAGGCATCACAACTAAAGAACATTTCAGAGAATCCTGGCATTCTAAATAATGGCAGTTTTCTGGGAGTCTACAATTTTGGTTTAAAATCTATTTTTCCCTAAGCGATCTTTCTAGGGAACGTTCCAAACACGCATTAATATAGGAATTACTTCAAAAGCCATGTTCCATAGTTTGTTTTTTCAACTCCCAAGTAAGATCCTGGTATTTTTCTATCATATTAGTTTCCTTTGGACTCCAGTCTTGTATCGTATGAAACAGCATTGTCCTTAATTCGACACTTGCTATTCTCCTTATTTATAACAATAAATTCAGGTCTTTCTCCTTCAGTGACTTGATCTGTCTGCACCGAGAAATCCCATATCTTTTGAAATCTGTTTTTTACCATTGCCTCTGCTTGATTTTCATACAATTTCTCTTGCTCATTGAAGCCAAATTTACGACATACTTCTGAGTTAATTCCCTTACCAACCAAGTCATGTCGCCTATTATTATTATTATCATTATTATTGGATTCGTATCCTTACAAAATATGTTTGATAGCAACCATTACATATTTCATGAGAGCAAGTCTCAAATATCCAGCACCTTCCTCAGCATGCCTAAAAGCCCCAGCAAATCCTGGACTGTCCATTTCTATTTTTTCCATCGTATTCCCAATTGATTTTATCTGCAGTGTTCCAGGCAC